TTTCTTGTTTCTCTTATTCTTGAATGCTTTTCCTTTTAAATCCTGTCTTTGGAAGAAAACTGTTTACAGCATTTAATCGGCAGTTGCACTGATGTGGGTAGAACTACTCAAGACAGTAAATTTACAAATAAAATGTGTAGGTGAAGCTTTTTCTTTATGCCATTGATCTTCACATTGCATCTTATGACTAGCCTCTCCCCCAGTATTCCCATACTTCAGTGATTTCTAGGTGAAAAACCATGACTCCTCAGAGTTAAAAATGAATGTTAATTACATATAATTTAACAAGATTGCTGATACAGTTTTATGCTATATTACTTTAGGTTATTAAAGCAATGAGCCTTCTATTAGTAATTTATAATAAAAGCTATACTCCTAATATATTGTAATGCAATGTTAGCATTATACTTTCATGTCATTACATTCTGCCTTGAAGTCTACTGCTACTGTAGGTCTTCAGTGCACCATAATTAAACAGCCTCTGACACAGCACCCCTTGTTTCTGGAAATAAAGCTAAACACAGTCTGTGATGCCTAGTGCACTGTAGTCTGCACTAGGACATGGGATTACTGTATTCCTTCTTGCATTTGAATTCAGACAAAGGTAAGCAGGTCATATTTGTGTAATTGAGTAACTTCTTGAAGGCTGTCATATAAATTAAGGAGACATTATTCACAAGGTTCACTGAGAGAATGACTCCAAATTCCCTTGAACCGGAAGATGGATTTAAACTGGCCGTAGCCTATGATGTTTAAGACAAAAGCCTGATTCTGACAATCTGTGTTGATCCAGCTGGGATGATTATAGAATCAGGAATGAATGCTGTGTATTTTGAAAAAAAGATGTGACAAAGCAAAAGCAAAGCCAACCTGTGAAAATAAAGGCTATCTTTCTGTAGTCTAAACCTGCAGAGGTGGCTTTACAGCTTACTGGGACACTGTTTGTGGAAAGATCTTTAGAATTTAGGGGTGTATGATAAAATTATATTAAGAAAATATTCAACTTGCAGACTCAGGTTTTATTTTTGTGTAAGTGTTAGGGTGTCCCTCATTTTGAGGAATGTGTGTATGGGTGTTGCTGTGAGGAGCCAAGGAGCAGCTGTTAGGACACAACATACGTTTTGCTTTGATAACTGAAGGATATCCAATTATCGCTGATCCTGGTGAACAGTAATTTTCTCTTCCCATGAGTGTGCTGTGTGGCAAGCAGATGACTGACCTTATGCTAGAAGCCAAAGCAGCTCTGCAGAGGCTCTCAGATAATTGGGTACAGCAGCACCCCAAGTTCTGACTGCATGGCCCAAACCAAGAGATACACTGAAGGTTACGGTGAAGCAAGCCTTCAGGTTAGGCAGGCTTGAAACGGAACTCCCTTTTATTTTCCTTCACTGAGCATGCAAAGGTACCCCAAAGCGCTCTGTACCTAAAATGCAGCCGTACGTTAGAGCAAGGCAATTCTTTTTAAGGAGATGATTTAGAACTGCTGGGGTGAGACAGATTGAATAGACATGTCCCTTGCTCATGGGAGGAGAGGACGTGTGTCTCCTGCCAGTCCTGCTTTCCAGTCTATCAGTGTTTGTCATCTGCCTTGCACAAACCCGGGACTGGCCATGAAGGGCTCTCATGCCCTTCACACACTGCTGCAGGCTGTGGGTTCTTCTTGTTCACCATTTCCTCATTCTCTATGCTGCCCTTCATTCCGTTTGCTTTTTATTTTTTTACTGCCTAGAAAGTAACTAAACGTGCTCTCAGTCACTGTTGGGAAGGAACAGTCATCGTCTTTCTTCCTGAGGGTTTTTCCAGCCCAGAAGCTGTAGTGTGAGCTAGCTGGAGAGTCTTTCCTGCTGTCCGGCCACAGTCTTCCTAAAGACCTACTCTGTGACTTGTGAACGAACAAGTGGCTCTGTCCTCTGTTGTAGGTGAATTAGTGTCTAACTTAATTGAAGGACTGAACTCTGACGTTACTACGCTATCACAGAAAACAGCAATGTTATCTTTGCCTAATTGTATCCTGTGTCTAATTTTGACAGAACATGTGTATTTGTAATTGAAGACGTGGAAATGCAAGTAAAGTAGGTGCAAATGTTTGCTGGAAGAACAATAATAGAATTGCTGACAGCAGTAGAATTTAATCATCCACTGATTGATGATACCTAAATGAGCATGAAAAAAAGGGAAACCGTAATCCTTCCTGCATATTCCCCCAAGCTTGTGTTAAAGTCCACCAATGCATGTTACCTACTGTGTTGAGTTTGTGTGGTCAGGGCTTTTGGTAGCTGGGCAAAGGCCACAGGGGCGGCTCCTGTGAGAAGCTGCTAGAAGCTTCCCTGGCTCCAAGTTGGACCCTCCTCCAGCCACAGCCAGTCGGTGACGGTCATAGCACCTCTGGGATAATGTATTTGGGGGAGTTGGCGGGGAACCAAAAGGGTGGAACCTGCAGTGGAAAGAGGAGTGGGATGTGAGAAGCAACCAGGCAGACCCCCAGGTCAGTGCGGCAGGGTGGGGAGGAGGTGGCTGGAGCAGAGGTTCCCCTCAGCC